GGGCCTTACGCCCAACTAACCCAGCTTACTTACGCAAGCTCGCATTAGTTGTTGCTCGGTAGGTAAATGCCAAAGGAGAAGATACCCCCTCTAGCGGAAATAACAAACAAACTGAGCACCAAAACGGCGCAACGCGACGGGCCGCTAGAGGGACAAAGGACGCGAGAGCTGCCAGACAGGCACACACACCGACACGAAATAAAGCTCCCCAAGCAAAACGCCTCAACGACCTCCAAACGATACTCCAGCAGCAAGGACGGCGAACACGCCATCTCTATACAAAAGAGCGAACAAACAGAACGCTGCCAAAACCACAAGGACGAGGTCAAACCAGCGCTCTCCCACCGCGCACAGACTGACCCACCGGCCACAAACGCGACGGATCCCTCAACAAACGCTGACGGACGCCCACTGAAGGCATGGACGATAGATACGCGAGAATGCCAAACATGTGCCCGCTAAGGGTTGACTAAACGGCCAACTAGGGCTTGAACTGAAAACCGGCTCTGCAATAACGACCGCTCCACGCGCCCAGGGTACTGACAGCAGGGATACGGATGACGAAACCCAGCACGACAAACAGCAAGGTCGGGGCCACCTCCGAACCAACAGGTACACCGGCCAACTGTTCAAAGAATCCACACAGCACCTGCAATAAAGGCCAACACAAAGAGAGTCTGACAGAGCCACGGAGTGCTGCAAATGCAACCAACTACTATAAAAACGCCGCCAGCAGGGGCTGTCTCCAGCACAGGGCGCTCTTGGTTAACCGAGCAAGTCATACACGGAGCTCGCGGAGTTCACGGCACTGAAAATAAGGCTGTGCAGCACGGACTGAGATAAAGCTCTTGGCAGCTAGGAACTGACCCCACAGGAGCCCGACATAAACGGAGTCAGAAAGAGCCCCAGCCTACCGCGACACAGAAAACGCACAAACACAGCGATGCAAAACTGCCAGGTCTTAGCACCAACCCTCGGACAAGGTAACCTGGCAACCGGCAAAGACATGCGGAACGGACTAACCCTAGGCCGGCGAGCGACAGCTGCGATACCAACAGGTTATCAAAGACCGGGGATGTCGCAACGGATTGCAGATCCAGCGAGAAACCGGGACCTATTCCGCGCCAAAGGTACTACTCGAATTTAGTCCCAAATCCAGCGGGGTTGGAACCAGCGGTACCACCGGATACCAAGCAAGTGAAAACGCTCCGATATCACGAGAAACCAAACGCAGGTTAACACAAAGCGACGAAAAACCAACTACCTGCGCGGTGCCGAAGGAGCGCACACACGACAAATCCCTACCTATTCGCTCCACATAACTGCATAACTGCTCCCCTGGCGCAAAGCAACTACGGCGTTCCCTCAAAGATGGTCCCACTGCCCCTATAACAAATAACGCGGCCCACGGGGAAGGGTGAAATGCTAGGAAAGCGCTCCTAGCGGGGCATACACACGGCCGAACTTGCAGCGCCTCACGGAACGACCGAGTGCTAAGCAAAGCGCCCACATGAAGATTGCACCCGCACTGCCACGACCTGCCAGGAAGGGAGTGGTAGATAGGTGCTCGACCCACCCTCGCCCGGCGCAAACAGCTCCGTATTGGACGGCAGGAACACAAGGTCAACCGCCAACTCCATCAACTGTTGCCACCAAGGTTGGGCCGTCCAGTACGGCACGACTAGGGTGAGGCACGCTCCCTCCTCACGCACTTTCTGCACCACAGCGAGCAAGAAGTCGGGGTCCAAGGGTGGGCAGCCATATGCATTAAGCCCTGCCCAAGATTGCAAGAGAGCATTGACCCCCGATGAACCCGGACAATGGTGGCGAGAAAAGAAAACCGGGAGGTGCGTGTTAATATGCGTGGCAAACAAGTCGACATGGTGCGGACCGAAGCGGTGCTCCAAAAGGCGGAAAAACCGGGGATGCAAGCGGTAATCATCACGGTCTACCCAACGCGAGGCTTCATCTGCCTCGTTGTCAGCACTAGCCACACGCTCGACTTGCAGAACAATACTATGCTTCTGCATGAATTCCCATAATAATTTTAGTTCGGCATGCAGAGCTGCCGAGCGCGAGGAAAGACGCCCTAGCACTGCTTGCGTGCACATGTTGTCCTCCCTAATTAACACAACACGCTGCTGAACGAACGGGAGAAAGGACTCTAATGCATGACGGACAGCGCGCAACTCCTTCCAATTGATGTGCTCGTAGAGCTCGGGTGCCGACCAATAACCGCGCGCCACACGACCCTGCAGGACCGCGCCCCACGAATGGCATGATGCATCCACTGAAAGCTCAACTGCAGCAGGCCCCTGGTGAATAGCCGCCGAGCAGTGGTGGGTAGGGATGTCCGCCCACCAATCTAAGTCACGTAACGACCCACGGGACAAGCGAACTCGACCGGACCAGCCAACAGGTTGCTTAATGTCGTCGTAAAAATTGCGGAGAAATAAAGGCGCTGGGGTAAGGGCCAATTTGACACTCTGCGCAAAACCACAAAACTTAGCCAGCTCACGCTTCTGGACAAGACGCCGATTTTTCTTTGCCGTGATCCGCAACCCGATCGCCAGCCGCCGCAATTTGGCGAGCTTCTGCTTAGGCACCTCAAACACACCAGCTGCCGTATTGATCGTAATGCCTAAATGGTACACTGACTGCGACGGCTCCCACTGGCACTTGGTGGGGTGGCACGACAACCCCAAGAACTCGATACTCTCACGCACCCAGCGCGCACCAAGACGCGCTTGCTCCTCAGAACTAAACACGAAGAGGAAGTCATCCAAATACGGCAGCACTCGCGCACCCGGACGAGAAGGACGCCCTGTCCGGGAAACGGGAAAAAACTGGTGGGGCGGGAGCGGGGGCGAGAGACGCTTGCGACCTTTACCCGACGCAGCCAAAGGATCCCGCCAAAAACGCACCACATTGCGCATGATTTTTGTAAACCAATACGGGCTATTT